AGCTTGAAGTATATTCGTACAAATAAACACTGCAGAAATAATTTTTTTTTGACGTCTGTATGGAAGCTTAAAATTATTTCATTGTTTCAATTTGCATTACAATGTATCTGGAATATCCTGTCCAAAAATCATACAAATATATTCATTCATTAGCCAGTGAGAACCATTTTACTTTTATACTCAATTTCTCAAAATGGCTATATAAGTATTATACAATATTATGACGCGTAAAATTCTAAATCAACTATAACTTTCTTACTTCTCTTCATAAATCAATTTGGTAAAAAGTTTTAGGTTTCTCAGTCTAACAAAAACCTGAAAAACAGAAAAAATTCAGAATAAACAAATTTGTTACCTGACTAAAGTTGAAAATACAATGTAAATAGCTTGAAGTATATTCGTACAAATAAACACTGCAGAAATAATTTTTTTTTGACGTCTGCATGGAAGCTTAAAATTATTTCATTGTTTCAATTTGCATTACAATGTATCTGGAATATCCTGTCCAAAAATCATACAAATATATTCATTTATTAGCCAGTGAGAACCATTTTACTTTTATACTCAATTTCTCAAAATGGCTATATAAGCAATATACCATATTATGACGCGTAAAATTCTAAATCAACTATAACTTTCTTACTTCTCTTCATAAATCAATTTGGTAAAAAGTTTTAGGTTTCTCAGTCTAACAAAAACCTGAAAAACAGAAAAAATTCAGAATAAACAAATTTGTTACCTGACTAAAGTTGAAAATACAATGTAAATAGCTTGAAGTATATTCGTACAAATAAACACTGCAGAAATATTTTTTTTTTGACGTCTGTATGGAAGCTTAAAATTATTTCATTGTTTCAATTTGCATTACAATGTATCTGGAATATCCTGTCCAAAAATCATACAAATATATTCATTCATTAGCCAGTGAGAACCATTTTACTTTTATACTCAATTTCTCAAAATGGCTATATAAGTATTATACAATATTATGACGCGTAAAATTCTAAATCAACTATAACTTTCTTACTTCTCTTCATAAATCAATTTGGTAAAAAGTTTTAGGTTTCTCAGTCTAACAAAAACCTGAAAAACAGAAAAAATTCAGAATAAACAAATTTGTTACCTGACTAAAGTTGAAAATACAATGTAAATAGCTTGAAGTATATTCGTACAAATAAACACTGCAGAAATGATTTTTTTTTGACGTCTGTATGGAAGCTTAAAATTATTTCATTGTTTCAATTTGCATTACAATGTATCTGGAATATCCTGTCCAAAAATCATACAAATATATTCATTCATTAGCCAGTGAGAACCATTTTACTTTTATACTCAATTTCTCAAAATGGCTATATAAGCAATATACAATGTTATGACGCGTAAAATTCTAAATCAACTATAACTTTCTTACTTCTCTTCATAAATCAATTTGGTAAAAAGTTTTAGGTTTCTCAGTCTAACAAAAACCTGAAAAACAGAAAAAATTCAGAATAAACAAATTTGTTACCTGACTGAAGTTGAAAATACAATGTAAATAGCTTGAAGTATATTCGTACAAATAAACACTGCAGAAATAATTTTTTTTTGACGTCTGTATGGAAGCTTAAAATTATTTCATTGTTTCAATTTGCATTACAATGTATTTGGAATATCCTGTCCAAAAATCATACAAATATATTCATTCATTAGCCAGTGAGAACCATTTTACTTTTATACTCAATTTCTCAAAATGGCTATATAAGCAATATACAATGTTATGACGTGTAAAATTCTAAATCAACTATAACTTTCTTACTTCTCTTCATAAATCAATTTGGTAAAAAGTTTTAGGTTTCTCAGTCTAACAAAAACCTGAAAAACAGAAAAAATTCAGAATAAACAAATTTGTTACCTGACTGAAGTTGAAAATACAATGTAAATAGCTTGAAGTATATTCGTACAAATAAACACTGCAGAAATAATTTTTTTTTGACGTCTGCATGGAAGATTAAAATTATTTCATTGTTTCAATTTGCATTACAATGTATCTGGAATATCCTGTCCAAAAATCATACAAATATATTCATTCACTAGCCAGTGAGAACCATTTTACTTTTATACTCAATTTCTCAAAATGGCTATATAAGCATTATACAATATTATGACGCGTAAAATTCTAAATCAACTATAACTTTCTTACTTCTCTTCATAAATCAATTTGGTAAAAAGTTTTAGGTTTCTCAGTCTAACAAAAACCTGAAAAACAGAAAAAATTCAGAATAAACAAATTTGTTACCTGACTGAAGTTGAAAATACAATGTAAATAGCTTGAAGTATATTCGTACAAATAAACACTGCAGAAATAATTTTTTTTTGACGTCTGTATGGAAGCTTAAAATTATTTCATTGTTTCAATTTGCATTACAATGTATCTGGAATATCCTGTCCAAAAATCATACAAATATATTTATTCATTAGCCAGTGAGAACCATTTTACTTTTATACTCAATTTCTCAAAATGGCTATATAAGCAATATACAATATTATGACGCGTAAAATTCTAAATCAACTATAACTTTCTTACTTCTCTTCATAAATCAATTTGGTAAAAAGTTTTAGGTTTCTCAGTCTAACAAAAACCTGAAAAACAGAAAAATTCTGAATAAACAAATTTGTTACCTGACTAAAGTGGAATTTAGTTGACACATTGTTTCTAACTGTTTTTACTGAAAACTTCTTAAATAATTATTTTTGCCAAGTAACATAAAAACTTTACAGATATTATAGGCTTCTCAGATTTCCCAAACCCTGAAAGAAATTACAATTTTATATATTAAAATCTTAATTTAGATCAAACAATAAATCTACCTTGGTCTGAAAAGGCCAATTTTGTATCATTTAACTATTAGACTTTTGGTTTATTTGGTTCCGTCTGGTTGGGCCATTTTGACTACAAAGAACGCCGCCTCAAGATTATTCCTTTGCATTTCAGGCTTAAGAAAGACAAACCAAGGCTTAAAATCTGTTTGTAGACCACAGAAAAACTGAAAAGAATGTTATCAAATGCTCTGATTGCCATGTCAGTGGTCTGATTTAGTCCTATTCTCTCTTAACTGATGTACAGTTGAAACGTCTGACAAAAACCCGCCATTTTTTTATAACTCTATTTGTTTTGTTTGACATTCGAGGCTAAAGCTTATTGAACAATCATGTCTACGGCCGTTTGAAAGAAATATTGTCAAGGATTGTCTCTGTGCCCTTCGATCGAGTAAATCATGTGGTGCGAAGTCATTTTCCTCCAAATAAGTTTTGAAAGATTTATTTTAAAAAATGCCGCCATATAATTTACACCGGAAATCGGCTGTTACAATACTGCAGTAATTTACTTTGTTTGTCAACCAAGTCTACTCGGAATGTCTTTTTACTACCGACAAATTTGATGTTTTAAAATAGAGTTCTCTCCCTTAGACCATGTTTTGATCACTTTTGATTTGCTCGGATAACGCTAATAAATACATTGTAGCGCTGGAGTGTTTACTTTTGGGAATAGTGCGTTTGTTTTTATTTTTTTGACTATATTTGTTATTTTCTTATCTGTTAGGGACTCTAACACAACAAATCAAGCAATAGTGATCGTCATAGACCCCTCTGAATTACAAATTTGGCTTTGAATGGCGGGTAGAATCACGAAACATGTGGGCGTGGTCAGTTTTGAGAGTTAGGAAAAAGCATACTCCTGTTACAGGATTATCCAGACACTAAATACTCATGAAACGTGCAGTTTTGATAATCAAGACTAGATGTAAACAAACAAAATGGCTGACTTTGTCACGGATTTTCAAATTTCTGATTTAAAACGTAAATGCTAGCGTTATTACTTAATCTGAGAGTGAATGAAGGGCTTAACTATCATCAGGGACCGGAAATCCAAAAGATCAGATAGTTGTCATGAGCTGAATTGTAGTGAATAGCAGAAATTCGCCATTTTAATGTTAGACTTATGGGGTAGCAGAAATTTGTTTTAGTCGTTTGTAGTGCAACATTTCAACTGACGAGGACAAGAGAACCATGCACGTCGCCACGTGAGAAATGGACAAAGATACAGTCACATTCAAAGGACAACATGCGCCATTTAGTTGGAAAAAAATATTGTTATGGACACACTCATATTTCTCTATGGACTGATATAATATGCTCTATTATGTTTTAATGGAAAATTTATTGTCTATGGACAGAAACTTGTTCTTTTTGTATGAATAAATGTAATCTGTAGTTTTTAAATATCAGTTTGACTTTGAATTAAAGAATAAATATTGTAATGTGTGTTGTGTTTGTGCAAAAGACCCATTTAATCATGTTTGTCTGAATCATTTTACACAGGGAGCCCCCTTTGACAATTCTGTTGCTCATACTCCGCACCCCAACCCTAGGATACATAGAAACCCACATATTACTATGTTGAGACACTCTGAAAGGACAGACACATGATTTACACCCTTTAGCATATAAAGGGAGCATATATGCATCTATGTGATATAAGACAAGTCTTTGTTTATGTCAAGTATGAGTTGCCTTGCTATACATCACACCATTTTTTTTAAAAAAAACATTTTAATAACAAAATTAAGAATCTCACAAATATCGCTATACAACATTTAAGCAATCTAAAATAATATCAATCAGCTTTCTGTGGTATATCAATACACAATGTGATTCAAAAAAGTGACAGATTTTAACAATGATCTGAATTAATTGATAAGTCTCCACAATGATCTGAATTAATTGATAAGTCTCCACAATGATCTGAATTAATTGATAGATCTCCACAATGATCTGAATTAATTGATAGGTCTGATAGCCCACAATGATCTGAATTAATTGATCGGCCTCCACAATGATCTGAATTAATTGATAGGTCTCCACAATGATCTGAATTAATCTATAGGTCTCCACAATGATCTGAATTAATTGATAGGTCTCCACAATGATCTTAATTAATTGATAGGTCTCCACAATGATCTGAATTAATTGATAGGTCTCCACAATGATCTGAATTAATTGATAAGTCTCCACAATGATCTGAATTAATTGATAGGTCTCCACAATGATCTGAATTAATTGATAGGTCTCCACAATGATCTGAATTAATTGATAGGTCTCCACAATGATCTGAATTAATTGATAGGTCTCCACAATGATCTGAATTAATTGGTATGATTTGAATTGTATATTTGATTGATATGTTGTAGTATATTTGAATGATATAAAAAATATAAAAAGTTGACTTTCCATTTAAAATGGCTATTCTTTATGAAAACTAAAAATCAAAATTAAGGAATTTGAGACACTGACTCCCTTTAAGGAATGTAGCCCTCTAAATTATTGAGCAAAAATCTGCTTAAAATCAAAAGCCTAGGTTTTATGATGAACTTTCTTATGTCCTTTCAACATGCTGCCTTGATTAAAACGCTTTCCACAAACATCACACATGTAAGGTTTTTCTCCAGTATGTATTCGCGAGTGACGTTTCAGTGCATCTTGTTGCGTAAAACTCTTTTCACAAACATCACATTTAAAGGGTTTCTCTCCGGTATGTATTCTTGAGTGACGTTTCAGTGCAACTTTTTGTGAAAAATCTTTTCTACAAACATTACATTTGAATGTTTCTCCAGAATGTATGCTCATATGAATTTTAAGAGTAAACCGTTGCAAAAATCTTTTTCCGCAAACTTCACATTCATGAGGTTTTTCATCAAGGTGCACTTTCTTGTGACATCTAAGGATAGAAGACGTGGTAAATGACATGTCGCAAGCTTCACATTTATACTGGTATATCTTTTCTCTAATAGGCCCATGTCCACTTATATGATGTTTAAGTCCATTTGGACTGGCAAGGAATTTTCCACAAATATCACATAGGTAAGGTTTTTCTTTGGAGTGCACCTTCTTGTGGCATTTGACAGCACTTAATTTGATAAATGCTTTTCCACAAACATCACATTGGTATGGTTTTTCCCCAGAGTGCATTTTCATGTGATGATAAAAAGAACTTTTAAAAGAAAATAACCTGTTGCAAATATCACATTTGAATATTTTTTCTCCAGTATGTATTTGCATATGCTCCTTCAGGTATGTTTTACTTGAAAAGTTCTTCCCACAAACTTCACACTGGCACAATCTCTCTCCGGTATGTGTTTTCAAATGTCTTTTGAGGCTTCTCTTCTTCAGATATCTACCACAGATCATGCATTTGACAACATCTTTCCCAGTAGTTTTCTTTTGTTGATTAGATGTAGGCGTTACTGTTATATCCATTCTTAAATATGACCCAAAAACTTGCTGCAGGTGGTTGTACAAGTGGTTAAAAGTGTCCTTAGTTTATAATTAAGTATACGTCTAATTGACTTTTTACTTAAAACAAAGTTAAATCACGGTAAAAAAAAAAGATTATTGAATTATATTTTACAATGTAAACCAGAACTCCAGAACTATACAGTTCTATGTGTAAACAAAGAAACCCGGAAGTACAGTTTTTACGGATCAACTATAGATTTACAGAGCGGTGTGGGGAAAAATACGGATGGCTATGACTTATTTGATGGCTATATTTTGACTTATTTGATGGCTATATTTTGACTTATTTGATGGCTATATTTTGACTTATTTGATTAGACATGTTTTGACTTATTTGATAGAGGTGTTTTGACATATTTGATTGACATGTTTTGACATATTTGATTGACATGTTTTGACATATTTGATAGATATGTTTTGACATATTTGATAGATATGTTTCGACTTATATGATTGCTGTATTTTGACTTACTTGCTTGGTATGTTTTGACTTATTTCATTGATAAGATTTGACATATTTGATTGACATGTTCTGCCTTTTTTGATTGACATGTTCTGCCTTTTTTGATTGACATGTTTTGACTGGAAAACAAGTGGTGATCAGTGAAGCAAATAAAAGCTGTGTTCCAGATGCATCATGTTCCTTCAGCAACGGTACACTGATTATCATCATCAAGACCAACACCAACAGAAAGATGTGGATAATCATCGTGCGTTGCTAAAGGAACACAAAGATACATATACAAATCCCCATAAGATGAGTAATAATGGAAATATTAAATACACCATACCATATTACAAATTACAACGGTAATTTCTCAATAATGAGCACACATTTGTCAATTTGCATAATTTATTTGCAATAGAGCCAAAATATGAAATAAAAATGATCAGTATATCATCTGCTAGTTAATAATGATCAGTATATCATCTGCTAGTTAATAATGATCAGTATATCATCTGCTAGTTAATAATATCAGTATATCATCTGCTAGTTAATAATGATCAGTATATCATCTGCTAGTTAATAATGATCAGTGTATCATTTGCTAGTTCAAAATGATCAGTATATCATCTGCTATTTAAAAATGATCAGTATATAATCTGCTAGTTAATAATATCAGTATATCATTTGCTAGTTAATAATATCAGTATATCATCTGCTAGTTAATAATATCAGTATATCATCTGCTAGTTAAAAATGATCAGTTTATCAACTGCTAATTAAAAATGATCAGTTTATCAACTGCTAATTAAAAATGATCAGTATATCATCTGCTAATTAAAAATGATCAGTATATCATCTGCTAATTAAAAATGATCAGTATATCATCTGCTATTTAAAAATGATCAGTATATAATCTGCTAGTTAAAAATGATCAGTATATCATCTGCTATTTAAAAATAATCAGTATATAATCTGCTAGTTAAAAATGATCAGTATATCATCTGCTGGTTAATAATGATCAGTATATCATCAGCTAGTTAAAAATGATCAGTATATCATTTGCTATTTAAAAATGATCAGTATATCATCTGCTAGTTAAAAATGATCAGTATATCATCTGCTAATTAAAAATGATCATTATATCATCTGCTAGTTAAAAATGATCAGTGTATCATCTGCTAATTAAAAATGATCAGTATATCATTTGCTATTTAAAAATGATCAGTATATCATCTGCTATTTAAAAATGATCAGTATATTATTTGCTAGTTAAAAATGATCAGTATATCATCTGCTATTTAAAAATAATCAGTATATAATCTGCTAGTTAAAAATGATCAGTATATCATCTGCTAGTTAATAATGATCAGTATATCATCTGCTAGTTAAAAATGATCAGTATATCATTTGCTATTTAAAAATGATCAGTATATCATCTGCTATTTAAAAATGATCAGTATATTATTTGCTATTTAAAAATGATCAGTATATCATCTGCTAGTTAATTATATCGGTATATCATCTGCTAGTTAATAATATCAGTATATCATCTCCTAGTTAAAAATGATCAGTATATCATCTGCTAATTAAAAATGATCAGTATATCATCTGCTAGTTAAAAATGATCAGTATATCATCTGCTAGTTAAAAATGATCAGTATATCATCTGCTAATTATTATAAAGAATCCGATTTGTCAGCATTTTCACAAGCAGAAATCACAAGACAGAATCCTTTTAAGTGACCGTTTAATAAGATGCAGCTTTATTTAAGGCCAAAAATCTCCTAATTTCAGAAACTACAGAATCTGGTATATCATTACCAGGGGTCAAGGTTATATCTAGTAAGGTCGTGTTACGCTTTAAGAGTTCAAGCAACATACGCCCACCACGTTCCCCAATATTGGTCTCCTCTAAATCTAGAGCTGTTAATGTGCTATTGTCTTTTAATCCCCGACATATAAATGTCATGGCATCATCGCCTAAATTATTAAAATCTAGAGTCAAATTCTGCAAACGGCGATTCTTTTCCAAGGCCTGCCCCAAACGTAACCAGCCATTTTTCGACACTCCTGGGTTGGAGCTAAGGCTCAAAGTTTCCAGATAAACATTTGCTTCCAGTAACAGAGAAATGAATTCAATTCCCTTATCCGTCAACCCAACATCACCAATGTCCAATTCACCAAGACGACAAAACCGAGCCTCGCGAGCCGGATCAAATAAACTGCTGCGTCGTTTTAAATTAATTGGTGGAGGTATTCTGTTGCCGGCTTGATCAGCATGTATCTGAACACTGTCTTCCAGCTGGAGTTGGGAATTCTGGCGAAGTAGTGATTGTTTTCGTTTCTGCCGAGCCTCGTGATGAATTGAAATAATTCCTTGACATAAAATTCTGACGCCTTCATCTCCTATGTAATTTCCCTGAAGTCTGGAAAAGAAATATGTCAGGATTAGAACCCATTGGTTTCAAAAAAATTATGATTTCTGGCAAGATTGTTTATGTGGATTTCAGGTTTGTGTACAATTTCAAATCAATAATATTTAAGATTTGTGGTTAACAACTATTTTATCGTGATATAGAAAATGGATCTTCTAAAATCCTGTCTACAGTCTACAGTAATTTCATTTAAAAAAAACAATGTGAATATGGTAATGCAAAAGAATTTCTGAAATAATGATGAAAACAAAGCTTACAATAAAATGTCTAGAGTTGGTTCGTTTTTCATGATATCTACTACACTTTCCATACCATTATAACTTAAATCATTGAGATTTAAATTCAACATCTGAAATGTAAAACACAACACATTTTTTTCCTCTAAAGAAGACTTACATATTACATGTAAATTGTAATTGGAAAGACATTTGGAGCTGAAGAGTACATATCGCAAACTCAAGACAAAATTATGGAATCAGCAAATTAAATAAAATCAAGCACATACTGGTGTAAAAATAGTGTTGAAATGTTATATGCCTTAGTCAAAATATGTCCATTAAATAAGTCAAAATATGTCCATCAAATAAGTTAAAACATGTCCATCAAATAAGTCAAAATATGTCCATTAAATATGTCAAAATATGTCCATCAAATAAGTTAAAACATGTCCATCAAATAAGTTAAAACATGTCAATCAAATAAGTCAAAACATGTCCATGAAATGAGTCAAAATATGTCCATGAAATGAGTCAAAATATGTCCATCAAATAAGTTGAAATATGTCAATCAAATATGTCAAAACATGTCCATGAAATGAGTCAAGATATGTTAATTAAATCGTTGATTTTAAACAATAGTTTATTGTGCTTGATAAATCATTTCCAGTAACCAAAAATCTTTCCCAAAGCATGACAAAATCAGGAGAAATAATAATATAGTAGTGGACAAGTTATTACAGATTAAAGACAGGAGTAGTATAACAATAATAGTATTCTTATTTATGACACATTTATTTCCTGAATCAGACTTTCAAGATCTTACTTACCACAGGTTCTGAAGGGGAGGTAATCAGAGCTTCAGATATATTCTCCATGTCCTCATCTTTCAAATTACAATTTCTCAAACTCAATGTTTTCACTTCAGATTTGGATTTAATATCATCGCATATTTCTTCCATCTAAAAAAAGCACATCAGAGAGTTGATCACCACAATACATCCAGCTGGTGATCTAGCTAGAGCATCTAAAAGTGTGCCAGAACTGTAGATCTTTCAAAAGCATTTGCAATAGTGGCTTGTTTTGCTACTGGTCTAATTTCAAACTGTTCTCTCGGATCATTTACCTGCACAATCTGTTACCCATGGGCCTTATTTTAAAGTCCAATCTGAAGACTAAATGCTTTTTAACCTTTTTTGAATTGAAGTATGCTCTGAGTATTAGACCTGGATGTAAAAGAGTGTAGTCTATATTAACCAGTATTTTACCTGATGTTTATCTAAAGAGATACTGTCCAAATGTATATCGTTCTCATCTTGTAGCAAGTGTTTAATACTACCACCGTGTAATTTAACGCTTGTGTTCATAGAGGTAGCAGGTCGTTGTCCAGGTTCCCCATCTCCAACTTGATCTGGATCATTCCCTGAAAATGAAACAAATGGAGTTTTACTTCTTTGGAATAATAGCAGAGGGATCCAAAGTTCCAAAATATCCACAAAATTCATAATCTAGGGGTTAAGTTTTATGTATCAACTAAACAACATACCTCCATATTGCATATTTTCACTCTCAGTGTCGCTGACATGGTATGTGAACGGTTCCGGAGTATTCCTGAAAGTCACAGACTTAATGGGTTTTACATTGGTTTCTTTTGATCCTTCCTTATTTTGGTCTTCATTGGCTTCTAAAATTCAAAGTGAAACAAGAAATAAAATTAATACTGATAATGCATTGGATTCAGATGTCAAGAAGTACATATACTGTACATTGTGAATATAATGCACACCCTTTCTGACCTTCCAGTTAATCTGCACCCAATCCTAAATAAAAATACCATATTATCAAGAGGGATGGTGAGTTCACAGACCCAGTCACAGAGAAATATCAGGTGCTCTGCTAAGAGGTTTGACCAGGGACTAGCTGGTATTAGTAGAAAAGATCCTTGTGAATGTAAATTGTTATCCTTGTAAGATAATGGATTCAGAAGGCAACAAGTACATATACTGTATAATTGCGAATATAATGCACACACTTTCTGACAATCGAGTTAATATGCACTCCGTCTGGACGAAAAAATCTGAGTTTTTATCCTTGTAAAAACTGGTTGTTTCTTTCCTTCGTTCCCAACCATTCAAAAATACAAAGAGGGTGCTTTGTGAGCGCATTTTATCTATAAGCAAGGGCACATTAAAGGACCACCCGAGGGTTTGCAACAGGAACAAGGTTATGCTTCTGAAAGATTGCAGCTCAGTTTTGGATGCTCCTTAATGCTTAGAACAATGCCAAAGAATGGTATTTTGAATATAAAAAAAACAACCAATTTGTGTCTAATACATTATCACAGATCTTTAAAAGGTTAAGTTACAATAATAAATAATATCACATATCATTTCAAACTAAGCTATTTTCTTTTCTTTCCGTAACCAAGTATGAAACTGGCTTAACCACTTTCTTACTCTATAGCCTGCCTTTCTCAAAAATATTCTGCCAAATATCTCAAGTCTAAGGCTTAACATCCTTATCAATTAACAATCATGGTCTTCAGAAATATTCTTAGGCTCTCAGTTTCAGAAAATAGCCTAGTTTGTTATATCCAAATTATCACAACACTGTTTCAGGCATATAATAACCTGTATGGGACTATATTATATATTACTTGAAATGCTTACTCCAAAAGCTCAGAAAAGCTTAAAAATTTAAAGATCATATAAAGTTGTATATTTAAAATGACCAATATTGTGCTCAATGCCAAAGCTTAGATAAGCGTTCTTAATCTCAAGCTCATACAAAGTTGCTTCAAAATTAATATATAAATATTATGGATATGCCTCATAAAAAAGCTTAAAAATGTTTTGCATTGAAGTGAAGGATATTTAAGCATTCTGTATCACTTTTAAAATTACATTCTTTAAAAATGCCCTTTCAAAGCTAAAAATGTGCATTAGATTAAAAACACCCTGTGATTTTGAGGTACAGTAACACCCTGGGCCATCTGAAAGATTCAAACTTTATTCACTGAATAGAAACATAGAAAACAACACTGACTTATCCAAATTGCTGCTGGGGTCAATTAATACATAATACAACAATTGGATAAGTACTACTCAGAAAATCAGAGCGATATTTATGGGACTTACATACAATAATTAGGTGCAAATGAAAAACTCTCTACATTACTAATAAAAAAACTATTGCTTTTGCAATGCATGTGCTAATTCTAAAATATTATGCTTAATTAAAAGAGTCACGAACGCTTCATAAGTGAGCCTTTAAACAATGTAAGCCTCCTAACAAATATATATATATGTATTATCAAAATCCATTGTCTTGATTGGATAAAAAAAAGAAATACATTGTAAACATCACAAATTGTGGACTGAAAAAAATGTGGGACACTGCCAGTAAAAAGTGAAAAAAGTGCTCAGGATATCAATTCTTTGGAGGACTCATTCCACAAAAACTCAAACATATAATCCTCTGCTTCCTTTACTGATAGAGCTTAATTGCAACTATTTGTAAGCTCAGATCTTATTTGATCAAAGTCCTGGACCCGTATTCTCGAAACGATCTTAGCGCTAGGATATCTTAAAAACAGGGTTAGAAGTTAAGAACCTAGGACTAAGATCATTTTGAGAATACAGAGCCTGTTTTTGTGAAATGGGTCCAAGGTTTTGAGGTGACGCCATCTTGATGGAGGTGATGTTAGTAGTTTTAGTTTGGTCTTCTATCTTCTACTCTAATAACCTGAAGTTGGAAAGAAGAAAAGACTGAGTTAGAATTTGGCACGTCAGGACTTGATTGAGGACATGCAGTTAAAGTTTCATGTAGGGCCTATTACTTCCTGTTGACAAGCTTAAATAGGTTAAAAGTTTGGCAAGAGACCCCACTGTTGACAGGATATTCCAGAAAAAACAATCCTGCAGTTTAGAATTATACAACAGCAAAGTCATATTTCTTAGAGAGCATCTTATGATTAGTATTTGTTAGTTTTTTAAGCATTAAGTGTAAATTGCAGATGTGTTGGTTGGATGGGCTAAAAGCATTTTCAAAAGGTGTTTTTATGCATTCTATACCTAAAAGGAACCCTTGACCTACAAATTAGATAGCAAAGCCATAATTTCAAGAGAAAATGCAATTAAAACAAAGCTAAATATAGCAAAAAAAAAATTGCCATCCAAAAAATTTTGGAAACAAATGCTATACATACCACTTTCTTTATTAGTCACAGTTGCATCGCTTGTTTGGCCTGGTTCAATATTTTGCTGTTTCTGTTCCGTTTTGACCCCATTGTCTGGTGGTCGTGGTGTTCTGGCACTGGTATTAGTGTTGGTTGCTGTGTCATTATCGCTAGAACTGCTGCTAGTCAAAGAACTCTCAGAATCACTTTCAGAAGTTGTGTCAGAATCGGAATCAGAGCTAGTATCTTCAGAATCTGAAATTAGACAAAATGTAACATTTCGGGAATTCCTCATGACAAAGCATGGCATTTACACTGCTTCCTTTATCTGGATTTTATATTTTTTGCTAAAAAGTATAGTACTTGAAGTTCTTGTGCATAAGTATTTTGTTTCATTCATATGCACGGAAATTTTGACCACAAAGAAAAGCAATAAACTTTTGAACTGTTTTAATCTAATTTTTGTATACATAATAACATAATAGGACAGATCCTGACAATCAGGTGTCCTGAACTTTTATAAATATTAACAGAGAGTGGGATCAATGGTGAAACTGTCTAGTAGCTTATAAAATGATGTGCCCCATCTACCAAAAATCTGGTGTAAGTGTGAATTAACGAGAAAGAAAAAAAACTAAACCAGAAAATGATTAAAAACAAACAATTTAAAAAGACTATTTACCAGAGACAGATGTTGTTGGTTTGGTTGTTGAGCTCTCAGTTTTGGTTGCTGTGGATGACTCCTGAGTTGTGGTGGGCTCGGTTGTGGTGTCAGGTGTTATAGCTGAACTCTGGGTAGAAGTGGACAGTTCGGAACTCTCTACTGTCAGAGATTTAGATTTCAAATTTGTTTTTTCTTCCTCACTTTTTGAAGAGATACTTATTTTTGATTTCGTTGCTTCTTGTTGCTGATATTTTTTTTCAATAGCAGGCTGAAAAAATTCTTGAGATTCTCTTTTCCTGGCCAGAATTTCCTTTTCAGTGGATGTTGTGGATTCCGAATTTTGGTCATTTGATCCTAAAGGCCGTTGTTCATTTTTTGTTTGTTTAACTTCTGTTTCTTTTCTCCATTCCCTACTTTCACTGATTGATTTTTTCGGTTTATCAGAAGAACTGTCCTTATCCTGTCCATAAAGTTTCACTATCTCTTCTGCAACTCTCTCATTTTTATCTTTTCCTCCAAACTGTTTTAAAATCTCCTCACTAATTCGTCCACTAGTGGGCTGGTCTTCTTCAAGATTTGGCTTCACTGGATCTTGTCCAAAATGCTTCTGCATTTCGTCAGCAATTCTTTTATGCTTTTCTGGATCCAGTTGTTGAGAGTCTTCATTATTGATTTTTTGACTAGAGTCATGCTCACTTTCCAAATTTCCTCCAAATTGCTTCAGTATCTGATCTGCAATATTCCCTTCTTGAGCATCACCTTCTTTATCTTGTCCAAAAGTGTCAATTATAGCCCCAGTGATACGTTGATCTTTAGATTGAGCATTAGCAGCTTCTGAATCTTTCCCATAAGTATCAATAATAGCGCTGGCTACACGTTTCTGGCTATCGTCATCATATACTTTTGGATCATTCCCAAAATTTTTAAGAATAGCTTCTGCAATGAGTGGCAACTTAGAAGGAGAGTTAGCCTCTTCATTTTGTTCTGCATCTTTTCCAAAAGTATCAATAATGGCCCCTGCAACACGTTCATTTCTAGCCTCGGATGTTCCTCTGTCCAGGCTTTGTTCAGTTCTCTCTGTGTCTTCATCATCGGCCATGTAGGTTGAGTCTTCTGCCTTTTTTCCAAACTCTTTCATTATTTGTTCGCTGAAGTTCTGCCTCTTTTGGTTCCAATCTTCATCAGGAGACTGGACGACTTCAGACTCCTCATCCCAAACAGTGTGGAGAAGTTCAGGTGAAGTCACTGGGCTTGGTTTTTTAACAGGTGAAGCAGGTTTGGACTCCTTCTTTGGAGAACCTTTGGATTTGGTTTGACCCTCAAGATGTTTGTGAATTGGAGATCCAGGTTTATTTTGTGGACTAGGTGTCCTAGATTTTTGATCTGTGGATAGTGGAGTCAAGACTTGCTGTCGTCGTGGAGTCAGTTCTTCTGAATCAGATGATTCTGCTGTTTTTTTCCTGGTTTCTGGTGTCTTTTTCTTTCCACCTCCAGGTGTATTTGAAGGGGCTATAAAAAAATAATAACACTATTACAGTATCAAATATATATAAGCTACACAATTAAACTAATTAAACTTTTTGAATTTTAGCAGTCAAGATAACTGTTTAAAAGATATAATTTGAAGAAAAAAAAAAAAGATATTTTTTTTACCTGATTTGCTAGTCTTCATCTGGCTGTGTTTGACATCTTTAATTTGATCTTTTCGAGATTTTTCACCTGATGATTGGCTGTTGCCCTTTTTAATCTTAATTGTCATGGCAGCTAGAGATAAAAGAAAGAAAGAAAAGGACACTAAAATCTACAGTGCAAACCAAATTGAACACAAAATAAAAAGAAAACTTAACAGATTGATAAAAGCAAATCAGCTAGATGGACTCTCCATAATAACGCAGAATTGACAAATGCAGTAGAAGATGATTGTACACAAGGCTTTCCAAAGTACAAAACATATCTAACATCTAATACATTTGCTATTCCAAAATCCATCAGAAAATGAGAGCATCCAAAATTTAGAATTAAATTGGAATGTATCTATCTGCCAAGTTAGATCAAAGAGACTTTATACATACTTATAAACAATTTCATAAATAGAAACCTAAATTACTTTTTAAAAAGGGGGGGAGTGGGGGCATTGAAGAACCTATCTTGCTTAATTCACAGCTGGGCATATACTTATCTCTGTAGAATAGATTGCAGAATTGGCATTCATGAAGGTTGAGCAGTGCTTGCTCGCTTACCTAGCTTGCTCACCTAACTGTCAGACCTATTGTCCCTAACTGTCTAAAATTTAAAAGCTTCATTGCTTACAGATTTTGTAGTATAATGGCGCCTACTTGTAATTCTGTTTTTAATATTGCATGCCCTACAATCCATAGTACAAAAATATGGCTTTGTCAAAACCTGTCAGAAAGTGGTATTAGGTGTTTCAGAGGGATTTGGCAACACTCTCCACAGTTACTTAAAGAAAACACAAAGTCTTGAACAAATTTTGATTTACTGTCCAATATTGATCATTAAAGGGAAGGGCTCCTTTCATAAATGATGTTCTTCTTTGAAATACTCAATTTGATCATATTTCTTACAGATAAAGTCTCTTCAAAGCAAAATCAAACTTAAACAATAAGCAAAGACAAATGAAAAATGGGTGAAACGAAAAAAAGAATGGAAGTTTACAACACAAAGTAGAAAGAGAGAACTCTGAAAGAAAATGTTGACAGACAGACAGACAAGAGATTTTGGTTGCAGCCTTAAATTCCAAGATCTGAGACGACATATTTCAGACAAATTCTATCAAATGCAACCTATTGCATCATAAGATTAGAAACAGTTCAGAGAAGTTTTGTGAGCTTTGTAAAGCACATAGAAATTCTAATTAAAAATATCAAAAACTGAAGTATAATTGTATAAATAAAACTGTGTCAGAAGAAAGGCCCAGCTGTGAATTGAAGCAAGATTTGGCGGAAAAATAGGGCCAAGATTGCTTACAAGTAATAGTGTAAATTGGAGAACTATTCGCTTAAACTGGTTAAACAAACCATAAGATGTCATAACCTTTATCTGCTTTATCAGCAGAGCATTTTGAAATTGTTTTTTTGGAGGACAATGTTTACAAACCTTTTTGAAGATCTTCATCATTCTCAACCTCCACAATTGTACTGTCAGGACCATTAAGATCTTCTTCTTCTGAGGAATAGGCATCAATCTAAAAAGTTTGAAAATTATGTTACATCTGAATTTGTTTTGCTTTAGGTTAACAGATTACTTCAGTACTTTACCTACTAAAACCATGAGCTTAAGGTTCCAAGGTTTTGTTTGTCCTACCATTGTAATACCCACCTTTCTTCCATAGACCTTTTCTTCCTCCTGTATTTTATCATAATCTGGAGTACGATTACCAGAATCTCTTGGTGAATCCAGAGACATTCCTCTGATTCTGGCTTCCTCTATGTCCAAGTCATCTACACTCTTCTCCTGATAATCATGTTCTTTCTCTTGCTTTATCTGGGATTGGTCCTCATCTGGAACATAGAGTAGGCTAAATCATTTCACCATTACAACCATATAAATATCAGGGGCATAATCCCCTTTATTAGGGGGTTATGGTAAGGCGAAATGATGCCTGCCACCTTGCCAATCGGGGGTATAAGAGAGGGTGGAAAGACCCATTTAATCCTCTTGATCAAGGGGCAAAGAACAAGATGGAACGATCACCACCAAACCTTTATCAGGAGTATAAGAGAAGGTGGAAAGACTCCTTCAACCCACTATATCAACCTTCTTTATAAATGGGCATTGGAGAAGGTTGTAAGACCCCTCAAGCCCCTTGTCTCACAGAAGTCACCCTTTAAGTTATCTCCACTACTATAATTGCTGTGGCAGGTGTTGCTTTAGGGGCAGAGTAAGCTTACTCTTCGATAATACATGATGTTTTGACACAGCCCAGACCCATGATCATTTCTGGAAAACTGGGGTTTATTCTCAAAAGAATCTTAGCGCTAGGGTGTCCCCAGGATCTTAGACTATTTCTAGGATAGCACTAAGATTGATTCAAGGATACATGGCCTGAAAAATTGACAGCAGCTCATGATCATTTATCCTCAGCACATTAGGTATTAGGGGATGAAAGCAAACAATGGGCCGACTCTCTAAAGCACATGCATCAGAAGGGCTGGGTTTATTAACTCTACAACCCATCAGGTAAGTCAACATAGTCCAATAGGGAATTCGAACACCTTTTTATGTGAAAATAAAATTTTATTAAGAATAAATAAGATATTAAAATGTGCATCAATAAAACACAGATAAAATATTTTAACCATTACATGGGTCCTAAGGCTTTATCAGAAATGAAAGCTGGATGTGTCAACAACAGCTTGTTAACATAGCTGAACATCATTGGTGCAATGTTCCCTGGCTGAAAGAACATAACTTATGACTTATGAAGCGACAGAAATAAATTAAATATTGAAGCCATAACTTTATGAAGTAAAGTAAAGTTAGATAGTCACTTTAAAATCACTTTATCACCTTATTTATCAAAAGAATAATTTGTCATGGTACTGTCAATAATATCACTTCTTTTGTCTTCAGTGTTTTTAGAGTTAGTTTCAGTCACTTCCGAGTCACTAGACTCAGTATCACTGGAGTCACTTGATGAATCACTTGATGACTCTTCTGAATCACTAATTGGTTTGGAATCAACTTCAATAACTACAGTTGGAACTGTAGAATTTGTTGAGATTCCTGCAGGTGCTTCGTCATCAGCTGAATTCTGGACAGGTTCAGGAGTGACCAAACCAGATGGATCAGAACCAGGTGGATCAGGTTCAGCTGAATTAGGTTCTATGTCCACTTTGGTGTCAAATGAAACTGTTTTCATGACATGCTTTCTGGGAGAATTCTCAACCTTCAAAGAAGATTTTAACAAACCATCTGGTTTCTCACTCTGTTTAGAAATTTCTGGAGCTTCAGAAGGGCTAAGTAAGGATTTCTCCTTTTTGGCAGTTTTTCGTTGTTCTTTATCTTGCTGGGAAATTCTGTTGCAATATTCATCTGAATAGTCTGCTTCATTGATCATGTAGTCTTTACTGTTGTCAGGACCTTCGGTTATGAGTTTGTTGTGGTTTCCCACCAGATCCTTGGCTTCCTCCATACAGAGCTGGAGTAACTTGTCAATCTCTCGATCAACTTCTCTGTCAATAGGGTCTTCATTTCTGACTGGAGTCTGATCAGATGTAATGGTGTGAGAGTTATCATCAGTTTGAGGAAGAGTTCCAACAGTGCTTTGAGATGTACCATGAGGACTTTGCAGCCTTTCTTGGGGACTGGGTGGTCCATCAGAGTTTTGCGGCTGTCCATCAGATAGTTGCTCTTTAGGAACCAGACCTGCTTCCTCAGATCTGGATTGTTCTTGGTCCTCACCACGAAGGTCAGAATGAGGACTGACTATAGGTGACTCTTCATCTTCTACAAAAACTTGAATGGAAGCCTGATGCTTGATCTTGGATCGTGGTTTTGGTGGTTTACTTGTGACACGCTTTTCCTTCTTTAAATCCAAACTTGCTGATGATTGGAGACTTGGAGGTTCAGGGTTAGGTTTCATTTGTTCCTCGATCGCAGATGATGCTTGTTCTTTGTCCAATTGTTCATGAGTACCAATATCCACTGCAACTGCTGATGGTTTATCACTAACTTCCATAGATTCCGCATTAGATTCTATCAATTCTGAAGAATTTGGCACATCATCTAGTTCTGGCATATACAAGTTCTCTCTGGAGCTGTAGATGTCTTCTTGAACTCCAGACCTTCTTGAAGGAGAAAGTGGCGTCAATAGGTTTGGATTTACATCAAGACTCTCTGACCTCTCCACAACATCACTGGCAAATGAAACTTCTTCCCTGAAGGTGACTTTACGCTGAGAAGCTGGTTCCTTAGCATCAGCAATTAATCTTCTGGGAGATTCAGCTTCAGTTTCTATATCAGAAACTTCATCAGCAGTGTTGACCTCTGTATCTGAAGACTCCTCTTCATCTGTGGAATATTTGTCCTCTTCCTCCTCATGTGAGCTGCTTTTAGAGGATGAACTCTCTGATCCTGAGGATTTAGAAGAAGCTTTGCTAGATTTTGAAGCATCTGTTGACTTTGATGAACTTTTTGTGGTGTCTGATTTACCAGCATGACTGCTGTCTTCATCTGATCTGGATGAATCTGCTTTCTTCTTCCTTTTAATTTTGCCTTCCTTCTTCTTCTTCTTCTTTTTGGTTTTGACTTTGACTTCACTTTTACTTGAAGTTACTTCAGACTCATCCTTGTTCTTTTGAGTGCTGGGATCATCATCATCTGTTTTTCTACCACCATCAGATTCATTGTCAGAAGTCTGGTTGTTCTCTTCTACCTCAGTCTTCCAGTCATCTCCACGCTCTTTGGCTGATGGATTGATGTAGGTATAGTCTGAAATTTAATGAAACAGTTATTAAAAAATACACTGATGTGCAGGATTTTCTTTTTCAATTCAGGTGCTTTTTTGCAATTTCCTTTACTGATTAAAAGAATTCTTGATGCACAATCCAAGTTTGAATTCAAGTACCAAGAAATAGAAGAATACTCTTTTCACATGATCACATGGTTCAATGCTGTGTTTTTTGACCAGTGCTGGGTTAGAGGGGTTAATAAACAAAACAAATGATTACCTTTTTAGTAAGTGCAAGTTGAGTGAACAACATTCTTGGCTGTGATAAATTGTGTTGTTAACATGCATAGGTTACAAAATTCTTCAAAAACATGCAATTTCCATGCAATTCATTCCTTTCTGCGATTAGTACTGTGTTAAAATTACGCATCATACAAAAGAGATTCCTATCAACCATGCTATTATTGTATATTTCATTAAAAATTGTTTTGCATGCAAAATATTGTTTTACATAAGGGGTTGTTTGCGCACAAGCAGGAGCAGTTTTATTTTATGTTGGAAGATTTTTTTTCAGAAACAGGGAGATTTTTAGTTGTGCTTTGTTCCCATGGTATTGAATTAGGAATTATGGATTAACATTTTCAGTGAAATTTGTGAAAATTTGAACTTGGTACGACGCTTAATTTTTTTTTCACTTACCTTCATCTTCATTTTGTCCTCCATTTTGTTTTTGTTCATTATCAGAGTTTTCAAAATCATCCTCATAGTTACCGGTATCTAAAAATAGATATGGAAAATTTAAAGGGACATTGTCATGTAATTTTGTCCATTATCAGCTAAAAGACCTGTATCACTTTTCAGAAATAAATCCCCAACTCATGTTGCCTACAATTAAATAACAACATTGAAATCAGATGAACAAAAATAATTCTACAACTAATAACTATGGTCAAATTTGTTTAACTCAGGTGAATTTCTAATTGAGGTTTGCCTACAATAAAATAACCATATTGAAATGGAATTTAATAATATGTAAGGTCAAATTAACCCGAAACACATTAACTATGTTTCATTCAACTCCCCTGGGACAACTCTTATAGATTGATTCCAGCCACTTAATAATGTATGACTTATCTTGAATGGAATGACTGATCATATGATACTTCAAAGGGAAACTATTCAATACATCATTGCCTTAATTAAAATAACTGGATAAATTTCATGAAGCAGATTTTAAATTGATACAGTTGCCAATGAGATTAGAGAATTTTATCAAATAGGGGAACAAACTAAGCTTTTATGCTAGGTTTTTGCTGAGTTAATATATGCCCACAACCAGTTATTTAGGACACAGCAAAGAATAAGACCAAAGAAGCAACAGTTTCTTGGACAATCATGCCCACAAATAGATATTTGGGACCTTCATTTGAAATATTTATGATGCAAAAGCTTGTCAAAACAAGGTGAATGTTGAAAAGAAATGCAATCCTGAATATTCAATGTTCTGGTGAAAGTCATTCTGCCTTGCATTAAATTTCAAATGTGCAGTCCACATGCAGTTTCCAGTGACCAATTGAACTGTGATTTTCATGCAAATAAAAAATTATTGAGCTCCATTCCATCAAACACTTTAGGCAATGCCTTAGACAGATATTCCATTTTAACTACAGGTATAACAAATGAAATGAAATGGAATGTGATCAAATGATTTAATGAAATGAAATGAAATGGGATTTGAATAATTTAATGAAATGAAATGGAGTTTCAGGTGTTACTTCTCTAATTTCCCTCCTAATGCAGTTTACTTTCAACTCTTTTAAAATCTAATTCAGGCCAATGAAGAAGATCAAAATTGTTTTTAAATGGATGTACTAAACTGAAGTTCAGAGGAATATCTGTCTCTTTAGGCATGTATCATTATTCAAGCTAAAACTGAGTTGTTATATACCCAGATCGTAATCTCCTGTAATCTGCCGAGGAGTATCAATCTCTACAGGAACAACTGTCTCCTTCTCTATAAAATCAATTTAAATGGAGTTTTACACCTTATTTCTTGCAAAGACTGGCATTTGCTGTCCCTCAAATTTGAGGGATCTTTGACAAGAACAGACAAATGAAATGCACTGGAACTTTACATCCTGCTGTGGATTGTTGTCTGTTGGGCATATACATGCTGTTGGTGAGAATCCTCATCCTCATCCAGGTAAGAAAAATCCTGATGCCTGTGCCAGTACTTCCGAGACTCATCCCAAATACCCTGCTTATCACACAGGGATAAACTGAGTTTAAAATATGAAGGTACTATCTGAACCTGATGATGATGAAGAAGTGTCTGACTTGCAGAGCCACCTCAGCTCCTAATCAAACAATCCTAATCAAAAGGTCAAGAATGACAAACCATCATTAAAGGGTGTCTAAAAAAGAATTACCTTCACTTTCTGTGTCTGAGTTTTTATCTTCTTTGATAGTTCCATTCACTGATTTCTTCACTACAATCTCTTCTACCATTGGCTCTGGTTTGCTTCTTTTCTTCTTCTTTTTCTTACCACCCCTTTCCACACGGCATCTAAAATGCACAACAAAAGATTTAAATCAAAAGGTTCCGGGTATTCAGACAACATCTCTTGTGATTTTGTTAAGTTTTTTCCTTTGTGTTCCTCCACTCAATTTTGATAGAAAAATGAAATGAACAACCTAATACTAAGGATACGCACAGTAAAACAAAACCTAGAATAAAATATTGGCAATACATTGGTAGAAGTTTATATGAGGAAGTATCAATCTATAGGTGCTATGGAATATTCATTAAAGAAAAACAGACTTGTACTGATAAACAATTAGGCAGAAAAAAAAACTAAAAAAAAAAAAGGAAAAAAAAAAAAACTAAAAAAAAGAAAAAAAAAAAAAACTAAAAAAAAGAAAAAAAAAAAAAACTAAAAAAAAGAAAGATAAAGGCTATGTTTTCCATTGGATTTCAAATTGCAGGACATAAAATTCCAAAATAATTAATTCACATATTGCCTTCGATACCTTAATGATAAGACAATTACCTTGTTATTCTGCGAAGTACTAATTAAAAACTATTGATTATTTACAGCTTATTCCATATAGAATATAATCCTAATTAGATAATCAATACTAGAACATTAGCAGTTAATAACAATAGAATTCTGTCTGCTTGACAATATATTGATATACATTACTGTGAATTTCATTTATAATACGAAAGGACCTTTTATTTGTTAATAAAGTATAATAGTGGGGCATACATATGTGGATTATATTTTGGCATGGCATTATTTATGTAAATTATTAAATTTTGTGTTGAGTATTGAATTCATGGATCAGCAGACCTTTGAAATAAGTGGAATTTGAACACCAAGAAAGAATTATTATGCTTTAAATCTTCACAACTATTTAGTGTGTAAATTTTGATTTTTTTCCACAACTGACATTTTGAAAACACTTGCTAGACATGACTGGCAAATGTATCCCAACAACAGTCAACCTCACTTCCAGCCCACGCCTTTAATTGATAAGAAAACTAACTAGCATATAACAAAATTTCGTTTAAAATTCACAATAAGAATCAATGAGCACCAACTGAATAGCAGCTTTTAACATGGGGGTTTCCACAATTCGTTTATTTTTTTCATTCCCTCAACTAAACTCTTAATAATTACATAATTAGTACAATATTTAATGATAATACATACTAGTAAATATTTAATGATAAGACATACTACTAAGTGTTTAAGGACAAGATATACTACTAAGTGTTTAAGGACAAGATATACTACTAAGTGTTTAAGGACAAGATATACTACTAAGTGTTTAAGGACAAGATATACTACTATGTGTTTAAGGACAAGATATACTACTAAGTGTTTAATGATAATACACACTACTAGTAAATATTTGTACTCACTTAAAACAAGGTGTATTGCCTTTGACATCCACAATGCTGAAATGACCATTAGCTCCACCTAGACGAACATTTCTAGCATGTCGATATTCACAACAAGTACTAACTCTGGAATCCATTCTACCATCAACGTAAATTGTTAAACTAAATGGATAACCTCGATGGCGATGGGAGACAAATGTAAATTCACCTGAAAGAAATTATTATATATTTGAACTTTCTATTTGAAATTTTACACCTTTCTTATCTGCAGACCCATTGGTAAACAAATACTGCCTTGTTCTTCTTTATATAAATGATGATTCATTTTACTCTAAAGAGAAAAGCCTGCTTACTTCCAGGATGTAGTTTCTGTTTGAAAACAGTTAAAGTATTGCCACCACAATGTTGTTGTTCGATGACCACCAAATTTCTAGGATCTATCTCATCACGAGCCAGGGACAAATTCCATCCATGATATTTCATACTGACTTCCACCATGGATTGCAACTGTCCTGGATGGATTGTCACAGTATCTGCTTGGTGAAGATGATTCTTGTAGGCAGCCTGTAATGATGATTGAAGATAAGGATTACAATTCATGACATTTCTTGATGGCAAGATATTACGAACTGCTTCTAACCTAGCACAACGATGTCAAGGTATAAGAAACAGGTCATTTTCATAATCAATCTTGGAAAGTTACCCCATTTCCAAATCTAGCTATTCTAGATTAGAGTACAATTTTAAACTTACTGATGTTCTTTGAGGAGATCTATCAGAGTTGGCACCAGAATTGTATTTTCGGCGCCTAGCTGAAGTGACATTCCTGGGAGATCTTGGTGGCATTGGCACTGTGGATGCCGTGGTGTAGGGTGATGTTCCATTCTGACCCTTCTCCAGTCTAGCTAGTGTCATGGCATATTTTCGCAAAGCTACCGTGTTTAACTGTGGAAGAAACAATAAAAAAAATATAAATTTTTTATTACTTCTACGGCTCCGTGACTTTAAATTTGATTTTTAGCAGCAAAATATAGTTGTTCCTTTCTTTCTTTCCCATACTTACAGTGTACAGCTGGTTTAGATCTAAGGTATGGTCGTCTCGGTAACTGTTCTGCCTTGGGCTGGAGGACTCTCCATTTACATCAATGTATTCCACCTAAAATTGGAAATGAAAGTGAAATTTTATCCAACATTTTTAACATGACAGAAAACTACCACGATGTGTACAAGCATGAAGTGTGCAACCAGGCAAAATTAGAACTTTGACAATCAACTTATAGTTATGTGACCTCTACTAAAAACTGGGCATGCTTATCCAACACCTCTTGCCACCCTTAAGACTTAGTTTGTCATCTCAGCATCCATTTTAGAGAGTCCACATATCTTTGTACTTACATCTCCCTCATCATCATAGTCATCATAATTTGTGGATGTTTTCGTTGAACTGGACGCGGGTCTGGTATTTAACGGGGCACTGATTGGACGATACTTTCCGTGAGTTGAACCTCCTGTTTTATTTGGAGCAGGACCAGAAGTTGGTCGTCGTGGTGACTGAGGTGATAGATAGGGCAACATTTCTTGATTTCGTTTTCTCAATTCAGTTTCTGAAGTCTTGAAAAAAAAAATATTTCTTTGAAAAAAATGAAACTTTATCGGATGGAGAAGTGAACTATAAAATTGCAAGAACATTTAAGATTTTTTTGTTGGGCAAAAACGAATTTACATTAAGGATGAAATTTTGAGACTGAGAAATTGTCGCCAATAATTAATTTCTTTGACTATGGATGGAGTCAAGAAATAAATAAAACATGTCTTAGATCTCTATAATAATCAAATGGTTAGTCTAACTACTTTGTTCTAATCTACATTAATCTTAGAAGAATATTATAAAAACTCCAATCATCCAGTTATATACAATTGTCATACAGATCACAATTTGATATAAAATGGTAAATAATTTCTTTATAAAATTGTTAGTTTAGGCCTCAAATAATTCAACTATACTAATTCTATTAAATAAAAACTAAGGAGTAGTATACCATAAAGTCCTTAGTTTTAAAACTAATTAGTAGTATATCATAAAGTCCTTAGTTTTAAAACTAAGGAGTAGTATATCATAAAGTCCTTAGTTTTAAAACTAAGGAGTAGTATATCATAAAGTCCTTAGTTTTAAAACTAAGGAGTAGTATACCATAAAATTGTGTTCTGTTATTTAATGTGGTCTCTACCCCTAAATGTCGCTAAATAATAATAATTCTCATAAACTCTTAAAATTATGAATTTCAATCAATATATAACAAAAAGTTATTCTAAAGAATAAATAATTATTTTCTATCAAAAAATAAATCAGTCCTAAAATCTATAATAAAAATTTGTTAATTTTTGATCAACATTTAAATCAAATACCAATGGAGCTGTTTGGGGTCTTGGAGAATAAAATTTGGATGGTTTTTTCCTGATAGGTTGCTGCTTTTCTTCCTCCTAAATAAAGTAACCATTTTAAAGAGATTCTGAGAATATTTCTTTGTAGATTCCTGTCCACTTATCAGTGTGTTTAAGTAAAAGGAAAAAATTACTAGGAAACCTCATTTTCGCTTCTTGCAACAATTTTTTTTGGGTGAAATTTTGGCATTTTTTCAGCAATTTTTTAATAATTCCTTTACTCACCCTGACTCTTTGAACTAGCTCTATTTTAGCAATTTCTTCCAGTTTCTGTTTTATGACATTTTGGCGGTGTCGATCCAATTCCAGTGTCTTCTCTACGATTGCCTGTGCTAAGGTATTCTTGATATGACGTCTTCGATCTTTTTTAGCCATATTTAAACGGAAAGTATTTTCAGATATCAAGTGACCACTTCGACTTATCTAGAAAAAAAAAATGAAATGGAGTTATTTGATTGAAATGTTTTGACTATTTTGAAAAGCATGTTTTGAATAATTTGATGGACATGTTTTGAGTTATTTTGTGGACATGTTTTGAGTTATTTGATTGACATGTTTTGACTTATTTGATTGACATGTTTTGAGCTATTTGATAAACATGTATTTTGATTTATTTTATGGATATGTTTTGATTTATTTGATTGATATGTTTTGATTTATATAATAGACATGTTTTCACTTAAATGATTGACATGTTTTTGACTTATTTGATGGATATGTTTTGACTTATATCTGATTGACATGTTTTGACTTATATTTGATGGTTATGTTTTGACTTATTTGATTGACATGTTTTGACTTATATCTGATTGACATGTTTTGACTTATATTTGATTGACATGTTTTGACTTATTTGATTGACATGTTTTGACTTATATGTGATTGACATGTTTTGACTTATATCTGATTGACATGTTTTGACTACTTTAATAAACATTATGTTATTGAGAGTTATTGTCTGCTTCTGGGAAACTTCCAATACTCAGCGAAAAAAAAAGAACTCACCAAACCAACTTTCCGTAAATGTCTGCGTTTCCTTGGACTGGCATAAAAACCGGCCAAATGGCCATCAGTTAAACTATTATAGACATAAATAGTTCCATGATGTACAGTATTGTCTAACGCCTGTGTTGACATTGAGTAAAAACACATAATAACATTGGACATAACAATGCCATTGTGAAATTTTTCTCGATAGCAAGTCCTATCCTGATTTTTAATTTTTGACATTTCGTCGAGACAAAAATTAGTTACCTCACTGCGGAGTCCATTCCTACTGTACCCTGGCTCATATTTTAACACAAAAATCCAATCACCAGTGGGTTAAAATATCAAATTCCTCATTTTTAATGGATTTCTGCTTCCTGCTGCTATTTTCTTTAAAAACCAGCTTCAAAACATCAATAATATCTCTTTGCTTACATTCCTAAACATCTCGTCGTTGAGGTAATCACGTGATCAAGCTAGGTGCATTCGTCAATTTGTCCAGGAACATGTTCGAGTGTCTCAAGAAGATATGATTTGATTAAAAAAAAGTGACTGTTAACACAATAGAAATGAACATATGAATTTTTTCCAAAAAATCTGAAACTTACGATTATTCAATACCAAAATAATATATCTCCTTTTTAATATCTGATTTGGTCAGACAGACCATAGAACTATTTTGCAGTTCTATGGACAGACATGCTTTGAATATTTTGTTCCAGAAAGACGTTCGAACACACCAAAGACTCGATTGTTCAGCTTGTTTAAAGTCCAAGTAGTTATTTTAGTCTTGTACTTCCAGTGAAATAACTCCATTCGATTACCCTACTTCCATCTTTAGCTGCCCGCTGAAATTTGGTGGTCGCGAGTTCGAATCCCGATAAAGCTATTATCTTTTTTTTCTTTTTTTGCAAAGAAAAATACAGTTTATTCTAACATTTTTTGTTTACAAACAACATTTCTGTCCGATTACTAAGAGACTTTTAAAAGAAAAAAGTTTACCCTACCCCCATCCTTAGCTACCGTGCGCTTCATGTCTCAATGGCCCAGTAGGTAGCGCGTAAGCTTAACAACTATGATGTCGCACATTCGAAACCCACTGTAAGCATCTTTCTATTTTTTTTATTTGATATACATGTTTTGATTTATGTAATAGACATGTTTTGACTTAAATGATTGACATGTTTTAGAATTATTTGATGGTTATATTTTGACTTATTTGATGGTTATGTTTTGACATATTTGATTGACATGTTTTGACATATTTGATTGACATGTTTTGACATATTTTATTGACATGTTTTGACTTATATCCGTTTCCTTGGACTGGCATAAAAACCGGCCAAATGGCATCTTTCTATTTTTTTTTTTTTTTTTTTTTTGCCTATTCAAATTTTTTGACCGATCTAGTCCAAGTGGCTTTGGAAAGAAAGACGTCTTCCCTACCCCAACCCAAGCTACACAAAAACCTTAATCTCCATGGCCTTATTTTTTCCAGACGAATCCCGGTTGAAACTGTTAATTTTTTTTTATAGTCTATTCCATCAAACGAGTTTTCTTGCTCGTGTGGCTTTGAAAGAAAGAAGTTAACCCTACCCAAAACATTAACTGATATCAATGGAAGATCCTGTGGTCCAGTGGATTCAGCACTAGCGCGGCAATTCAAAGGTTAACTGTTCGAATCTCACTGAAGATTTTTATTTTTTTTATTTTGCGAAGTCAACAATTATGTATTCTATCATTTTTGGTCAAGAAACGAGTTTTATGGCTTATGTGGCTTTGAAAAGAAAGAAGTGAACCCTACCCCAAACATTACTTGACACTAACGGTATATCCTGGTGGTCCAGTGGGTTCCGCGCTAACTCGACATCAAGGAGGTCGCGTGTTCGAATTCCTTGAAACATTGTTTTTATATTTGCAAAGTCAAACGATGTCTATTTTATCTTTTTTTTTTGTCAAGAAACGAGTTTTATGGCTTATGTGACTTTGGAAAGAAAGAAGTTAATCCTACCACAAACATTACTTGGCACGAATGGTTAGTCCAGTTGGTACA